TTATCTGCTTTAACTTTGCGAAAGTAAATAGGTGAATCACAGACCAATTTGCTTCCGTGAGGTTTTTTTTTTATAGTATTAAGTGACGGGACGAACAAGTCGTGCGCCTGATGGTAAGCTACACGCCTGTCCATAACAGTTACAGTGCCACTCAGAGCTTTAAATTGCAAAGACCTGAGGGGCACTACCACAGCGCCCGTCACCCAGAGACATAAGTTGACAAGTCCCATGTGCCAGTAATTTCACCAGCACCCTTAACCTTCAAAACCGGGACACAGTAATGCTAACATTAGTGCTTGGCGGCAGAAATGTAAATGGGCGCTCTACAGCTGCTAAAACGTACTTTATAATAGTTACGAAATGTTTAATGATTAAAAAAAATAAGAAGAACTAAAATTGTTCAATGAATCAAAAATTAAAAAAAGAACCTTGTGTAGTCTGGTGCTCGATGTCTGGTTGGCTGGTTATATATATTTTTCGTTGACGCGCCATTTTAAAAAAAATATTGTTACGTGTGTTCTGTTTTGTGAAAGCGGGACACTTAAGTATTTTGGTCACAGCGGGACACGAAGCCTAAAAGTGGGATATCCCGCTCAAAGCGGGACGTATGGTCACGTTATATATGAGCAAAGATGGGGTAAGAGGAATAATAATCTTATTTCCAAAAAAGGTAATGTATCTATATAATATATCTCGTGATCTCATTTTTATTAATATAATAATAATATATAAAAATAATAATTGTCAGTTTTATTTTTTCCGCCTTTTGGATTTGAAGCATATCGTAGCGACATCTCTTAAAAATCGAAAATAAGGTGGCAGTACTACCCTGGACGAACTCTTTCACAAGGATGCAATAAATGATTGCGCAAACCATGCAAACTCTCTACTTATTCATTTTGACAGATACGTCAAAGCAAGTATGTATATACCTGGTTCTTGTAATGTCTTAGTGGGTACAAAAAATGTGGCACGCTGGGTTTTCGTACAAATTGCTGTACTTGCTGCGTCTATCTAGATATATATCTGTGGCCACGCCCAATGTTTGTTGGATACTTCACACGTCTTCCGGTGATTGTGAACCTTCTTCCACATGCAGGTTTTAATAAAACTTACCTATAGAGAGGAAGCCACAAGACTCTGAAGAAACGACCCAGCCCTCCGCTTTGTCGTCCACGCCGTTCTTCGAACAGCCGTTCATCAAGACTGTAAACGTATTTTTTTCTTAGTGTTTGACCTTTGTATTAATAATTATAACAAACTAGTGGAGAAATTCCACAAAAATTAATTGAACATCATGGCAGTTAAGCATCGTGATGTTCAATAAAAAATATTACAATTTATTAAAGCGACATATATATGAAGCTGAGTGAAAAAAGTTGTATAGATTTGTCACAGATGGCGCTGCGGTAAAAAGTTTGCTGGTTCGTTCCGTAGCTCAATTGGGTGGGAGAGCTTTAAGCACGGTATGCTGAAGGCGCAGGTTCGAATCGAACCGGATCGAAGGAATTTTTCTTTGTGTTTAATCTTTGTATTAATTTATACTAACTATGATTATTAGTTCGGTGCCTCAATTTTGTTCTAAATATAGATGTATACTGTATTATTACGTTTCCGATCCCCCTTTTCACTCTAAACCTCTTTAGTCAGACTTGTAAATAAATAGAAGAAATAAATAGAGAAATAAATTTTTCTTTTAAAATGTTTGTGTAATGACATTAAAAGTCAACGGTAGTTTTAGTTTTTTTTAAATAAATTGTATTTGTGCAAGTTTGAAATCAAAATTTACAGTTATTATGAAAATATGTTTTTTAAATCGTAGTTCTTCATCGGTTTTACAGCTAAAGTCCATTCAAAATCTTAAAAACTTGATTCGGGAAATTCTATAATACGTATATAGTAAGGCTTTCAGTTGTAACTGTATTTCCTCGTTCCGGAAAAAAACTAGAAAATAAGCACGGTTTCGAAAATTCCGGAAGAAACGAGACTGTCGAGTCTATTTCAAAAGTAAGTTTCCATACTAGGTTACGCATTTAGGCAGTCAAACTAGCTACCCACCTTCCCAATCTACCACCTCCTTTTTCATCCAAATTCCGTTCCCTGTAATTCTGCTTTCATTGGATAAATGCGAAGGCAAAGCAATGAATAAAAAACCTTTTTATTTTAATCCCGTTCTTGTTAACTCAAATTGTAAAGTTAAAAACTACTTTTAAGGCGCCTTCAAATTAGACGCTTATATAAGCGTTGCAGTGGCACGTCTGTAGCGCTTCAGAAATTTTTACTTCACTAGAATTGTGACTGCTAAAGAGGCGAACGCATGTCACGACAGCGGCTCTGCAACTGCTTCTTTTAAATATTGTATGAAAATCGAACACTTTAAAAAAACCGACGTCTTCTAGCAAACCGTGGCAGACGCTATGCCAAATAAGCATGCTTGACTCGGTTTACTAGAAATCGTCGGTTCGAATCCGGCCGAATCGAAGGAATTTTTGCTAAGTGTTAGATCTTTGTATTACTAATTTTCACAAACTAGTGGATATAATAATAATGTACACACTCAACATAGCCCCGCACTAGGGAAACCCTATGTTGCGGGTGCCATGGACACACACATACACACACAACCACAAATTACACCCAAACTCAAGAGAGAAATAAATGTAGGCCATACATTGACTTACAATTATGGACGTCGGGTCCGCGCTAAAAAGTGTCCGAACTTATAGGGCGTTAAAATCGTATACAGAGCGTCAATCACGCTTTAGTCCTCGTTTGTTCGACTGACAGCGAAGCAAGCAAAATTAGACAGTACTGCGATGACATTACAATTTACATTAAACGTTTTAGCTTTTTCACATTCCTTTACATGTCACTACGTTTAAATAGGTTGACTTGGGACATTTTTTTCGTGGTTTTTGTATTAAACCTGTCGTCCATTTATTTGTAAATCAATGAGGTCATACAAATATTTCTCTCGGCCCGGGAATCGAACCTCTGCGTGGCAGTCCGGCATGGTAACCGTTCGGCCACGGAGGCAGTTAAATATATATACAAATAAAAAATTTATATAATAATGGTATCAAAAATTAGTAGTAGTACGGCTGCAGTGCCACAGTCATACATGCAGCGCCTCTACAAGCGTCTAATTTGAAAGCGCTCTTAGGCCACAAATTCGTAATTCGCACTACATTCAGCGGGGCGTTCAATGTCTGCGCGTACATTGCGCGCAAACGTGTGTCTTGTATTGGGTACATTCAACACAACAGGAAATGTACGCGCCTCGCTGAACGCACCAGGGGGTCTACTCTTTACTGTCAAATAAGTAATATTCGACAAAATTAAAAGACAAGTATCAAGTATGAAGCTTCATTCGCATCACGAGTCTTTTCATTTGGTCAAGTATTGCTTATTTAGCAGTAATTGTTTCGGACGGAGGTCGAGAGTAGACCCCCAGCATTGCGAATTGGTGGCCTTATAAACGGGCACGTAAGGAACAAAGGGCGCTTAGTTTCAGATAGCGAGAACTTGGTTTTTAACCGACTTCGATTCCACTGTATTTTTTTTGTATGGCAGTAGTAGTTCCATTAAATTTGAAGATTTCACCACAGGGTGGCAAACTAGGGTTGAATCCGGTTTCGCGCACTTTCCGGTAACTGATTCTAATAAAACTTGGCAAATAGATGTAATTCCACATACTTTTGAGATCGGTTTTTTTATATTATTTTATTACCTATCGTTCTACAATTTGCGCAAATTACACTAAACTGCAATCTGTAGTATGGCTATGTTCATTTAACCAGATCCAGAGAACCAGATAAATAAAAAAAATACCGTTGGTTAATTAGATTTTCGATACCGTTTATATTATTAAGACTAGTCTAGTGACATTTTAAAGAGTGTGTATTTTTAATTTTGGCATTTCTATGTGGGTTGGGAGCTATAGACCATACATATTATATAAAAATATATTTTAAACGACAGATCAGAAGAAGAAAAAACGCAACCATGAAAACCAAGGGCATAGAGAACAAACAGCAAGGCAACTTCTACTCGTCCTACGTCGCCTTTGACGACAGTAAAAAAGGTGCATCAGGTAAGTATTTTGAAAATTATTCACTTGGAAAAGGTAGAAAAAATGTAGACCAAAAAAGTTTTTAATAAAAACCAATTTTTACAGGTACTCTACACAACACCGGTATTGCCGCTACTAACGGTAATTTTGTACATTTAATGAGTAAAAATAGGAAAATGCTTTATTTCTATGCATGAACACATAACGGCATTTTGCTTTGGGCCAATGCCGCCGATATCAATAGAATCTTTGTCCTTCAGAAACGGGCAGTTAGGGCAATTTACAATATGTGCCCCTGAGTATCTATGAGAGATAAGTTTAAGGAAATTAACATTCTTACACTAGCGTTACAGTACATTTATGAAAGTTAAATTTATATTAAGAGTAATAGTAATTTGTTTTTGTAAAATAGCGACAGACATAACATTAATACGAGGAATAAAAATAAACTAGCTGTTCTTGGTAGTCGTCTTCACAAAGTGACAAATTCATTTAAGGGGTAATGTATACGCTTCGATAACAAGATTTCGGTTGATATACAAATTTGCCATTCACGAGGTTTAAAACAATAGTGAAACAAAAACTTTATAAGGCATCGAAATATGACGTAAGGTTGCGTGGAAGAAATTGCCGTTTAGCAATACGGCCGTCTGTTGTGCCGTCTTAGTCTGTTTTTGTATTTGTTCTTGTGTGGAATAAAGAGTATTTGTATCTTATTGTAAAGTGAAACATGCACGTGGATTGCGCGTGCGCCGCGCACAAGCACCCTAAACACCAAATTAAATTAAGTTAATTATTCATAACCGACCGTACGCGTGTTATCGTTAAAAACTAATTGTCATTTTAAATAGTTAAGATGCACTTATCAACTAAGATCAAGGCCAAAATATTCCTTAATTAATATTATGGATGTTTTTACATGCTTTTAATGAGGTCACATACAAATGATATCAGAACGCTTTATTTAATTAGTTATTATTATTATTATTACTATTATTATAAGAGTCGAATGAACTAGATTCAATTGGTTCACGAATCCAAGATCGTTCGTTTACTCACCCCACATGACATATCCATAGATAAATTGAACAACATGATAAACAAGTGTTTTCTTTAGAGAGGAATTGAAACTATTTTTAGACCCAAATCTACTGTGTAACAATCGCGAAAACCTAGGAACTCGATAAAATAATAGTTAGCTTATATATGTATATACGATGTTTTCCTTTACCGAAAAACTCAAGGTAAATTTCAAATTAAATTTCTATAGTAGTATCTTTCTCTGTTCGCATCGTCGTTCAAGTTGAGCCTCCACTTGAGAGGTGAGCTGAATATACCGTGAATTTTAATTGTACTATTCCCATACATTTTCAAATGGTATGCTTTGTACTGATAGTTACTCGTATTGATAGGTGCTGGTGAACTTACAGGCATATGACTTGTCAACGTATGTCTCAAGGTGTCGGGCGCAGTGGCAGTGCCCCTCAGATCTTTACGGATTTGAAGCTCTGAGTGGCACTGCAACTATTATGGACTTGCGTATACCTTACCATCAGGCGCACGACTTGTTCGTCCCGTCACTTGATATTATAAAAAACAGGTCCACAGATACGTACGAGTATATTTGCGAATATTTAATAGCAATACCTTTGCTAAGCGTAAATTAAAACATCGTGATGAAATCTTCATGTAAAAGAAAATTCACAACACTTGGAAATAGTGAGTTGTCCCTAAACCGCATGAGACGAAGACCAGTGCCCAACATTTGTAACTATACTTGATGATGACAATGACAATTACTATCGTCATATAAATGTTCTCTGATGAATAAGCACCCTGTATTTATGTGCATTATGCTGTAGTAAGGAATTAAATTTCCATTATAATGACCAGTGATAGGAGTAAGTAGAGATATTTCGGGTAAATGAGCTCATACGTTATGTTTAATATGGACATGACTTCGGGATTCCGGGATTTTGTAATTATATTTTGTTTTTATTTATTTCATGACCGTGGATTCAAGCATTTCAGTCGAAATGTTGCCAGACATAGAACAACAATGTGCCTACTTGAGAAAAAGAACATATTTTGAATGCATTTTATTTATGTTCTGACCTCAATAATTTATT